TGCATTGTTGTTGTCTTTTATTTTTGAAAAAGATTTTTTATTTACAAAAGTAAAGTTTCAGAAATTAATGGATAGTAGCCTGAGACGTCTTCATGTGGGCACATTTCAGTAGACAGCTTTTCTCATTTCTGGTCAAGGAGCTTCTCTAGTCGATGGTTAATATTTTGAAAATGGTATTCAGCTCCCAAAAGGGTTCTTGCTTTAAATAACAGAGCTGGAAGGCTGGATGAATCATACACTTCCATTACATTTGGTTCTTTCTCTTGAACATCTGAATAATCTTGATAAAGCTGTTTTAAATTAGATAAGAAACACGTGGCATTCCTAAGGGAAGACTTTCTGTCCTTAAGTTCATCATATTTTGTTTGTAGTTGTTTCAGCTGTGGTTCTAACCCAAGCAGTTCATCCTGGACTTCAATCAACCGCCACCTTCTCTTTTCCATATCAGAAATCATCTTTGCATTCTTCCTTTTCAGATTTTTCAACATCTGGACTTTGAGCGTTTTGATGAGTTCTTCTCTAATATTACAATAAAATTTGTTGATGGCTTCCATACAAACTTTAGATTCTATTTTTTGTTTATACTCTAGGAGGGTTTTTTCAATTGCAGACAAAATAATATCCAACTCCATGATGTCACTGATTCTTTCCTTCTAGACACCAAATATGCATACTATCAGAAATATATGAGTCTACAGGTTTACTACTTGCTTTCTTCCTTTCCCCAGGAGACGTCTTCTTTTTTTTCTGAAATCTCGGCTGACTTTGTGTCTCCAGTGTCACTTTTCCGAAAGAGGCCTGGGCACTGGGGGACCCTGTCCTTTAGGGGTGACTGGCCCAGCTGGTTTCTCCAAAGAGTCTGAAGATGCCACAGCAGGAACAGCTTCATGCTTCTGTGTACTGATTTTCTCTGCTGATTTAACTTTTCTTCTTATGTCACCTTCGTCATCACTTTCATACTCGTCACTAAGGGGCTTGAGTTTTCTTTTTGACTTTTTTGCACTAATTTTTACAGAGTCATCTTCACTTGCTTCATTTTCAGACATGTTGGAATTTTTCTTTCTTCCTTTTCCTTGGGGAGTTGAAGGGATAGATAATCCACAGTGTTTGGAAAATTCTTCTTCATCAGCATATACAGCAGTGCTATGTAACGGAGGATCAAAAGTTTCATAAAGTCCCCATGAATGAGAATGGAAAGAACCCGTCAAGTTGGGCAAACAATTAAACAGAGGAGAATAAGAGGTATACAATAGTAGTCTTTCAGTTATTCTTTTGTGTTCAGCAGCAGAATATTTTCATCAGCACACTCTACAAATGGACTTCACTTCCACCCTATGGGTCATCATTCCACCTGAGTCTACAGGGTAGATTTTAAGGAAATAGCTGTAGCTCAGTTCCACAAGTGACACCTAGCCACCAGTAACTTTTACGGTCATTATGCATGTCCACAACACACTAGAACTTTGTGCGATATCCTATCCTCAAACTGTTAGAAGTGCTGGTCATTTACTTGCCATTCCAGTAT